GTTCTATTGACATTCTACTGTACTTGGATTGATGGTAGCAAAATACATTAAAACATGATGGCTACTGTATTCAGCTATTTGTGTGCATTAATAGTAAAACCTCGATAAATCGAACTCCAATACAGCATGCCCATAAAATTAGGGGGTTGGGGGGGTCTGAAAATGGCCGCGAATTGCCAAAACTGTGAATATCATTTGCTGATCCGAAGGGGGGTTAACATTTTTGCTCTTGTGCAATGAAATGTAGTATATTCCCTTTATGTGTAAGCCCTTAGGACAATTATTTCTTTTACCTGTACTGCACGGTATATGTGTGTGTGTGTGTAGCCACTACTTCTACTAACTACAGGTGCTCCTCTACTTTAGAACGTTTAACTTACAAACTTTCAGAGATACAAACATCATCACTGAGGGGGGTTACCTGCCAGAACAGGTGTTTAATGTGGATGAGACCAGATTATTTTGAAGAAAATTCCAGATAGAACAAACATTACCTAAGAGGAGAAGAGTGAGCCAGGTTTTAAGACTGTATTAAAGGGTATAACTGTAGTAAATATCCATAATCTTTTAATTTTTTACATTATGTTTGGTATCTACAAGTGTAAACAAGCCTCAGGAACGTAACTTGTTCGTAAGTAGAGGAGCACCTGTTCTTTGTTGTCACTCGGAATCGAGTATGACGAGCATCCAGCTATGATACAATGATATGAGTTATTAAGGATGTCACCTACGTTGATGAGTTTTGAGGTGACTAAAGAGGCCGATATGGGACCGGCAGAGTTGTTCACAGATGTTGCACATGTGAAGGGGTACATCTAGTGCGGGAGGGGCGGTGGCAGCATCTTTCCGGCTTTGGCGATTGTCTGCCTCGGTATACAGTCATGCTAACTCGAAAGTATTGACACCTTCTTATGTGGTGCTCCTCCAAGTGTTACGGTGTGGGGTAATCGTCACCTAGGTGAGGGGGTCTTCCCAGCGAACTCGGTTGATGGAATGTGGACTACGTTTGCGAAGGTTTTCAAGTGCGTTGAGGTGCCTCCTGTATGTGACCCATGTCTTGCTGCTGTATAGCAGGGTGGGGAGGATCACTGCTCAATATACATGCAACTTTGTAGATAATTTCAGCTCTCCACAGCTGAAGACATGGGTACGAGTCTGCCAAAGGCTTGAAATGCACATCTGATCTGATGTTGAATCTCTTTATCGATGTCCGCAGTGGTGGACAGGTGGGAGCCGAGATACCGAAAGTGGGCAACATTAGAGAGGGTAGTACCGTAAAGCTGGATGGATGGTGGAGGTGTGGCTGAACCATGGGGAGGTTGAAAGAGAATCTAAGTCTTACTTACATTCACTTCAAGGCCGAATTGCGCATGCACATCTGCTTAGGTGTTCAGGATCTCCTGTAGGTTGCATTCAGTGTGAGCGACAAGGGTGAGGTCGTCTGCATACTGAAGTTCAGTAATAGAAGCTCCAACACCTTTGTTCCCACTTTGAGTCGTCTTATGTTGAAAAGACCCTTCATCCGGCACTTAATGTCCACCCCGGCAGCTAAATTGGCACTGGCACAAGTAAGGAAGCCACTATATCTCACCACCTACTTATTCATAATAATGTAAATTTAAATTCTTACATGCTACCCATGCCTTGGTGGGTGCTAACTCCCATTGTTCTTAAATCATATCAATATTGTCTCCATAACACAATTCAACACAATTCATAGCATGTCCTGCATGAGAGAGGTACCAATGTATTAATGTCTGACCGTATGGCCTTTTGACTAGGCTTGTCGCCCCCTGGGGTGTAATAAATTAATTAAATAATAAATAATAAGCTTAGCATGACTCAACAGATGCTCACAAGCACTAAATGCAGGTAGTGGGGTGATAAGGTTGAGATATAAGTCACATAATGTCGGGAAGGACCTCAGTTGCTCCATTCCATCCCCTGCTCATGCCAAGTCACTATCAAGCTCCTTCAGTTGAGGAGTTTGTGGATGAATGTTGCCTCCATAATGACTGAGTCTGACTAAGACTCATCGTGAACTGTCCCTCTAATTGGGGTGTGGCTGTGGTGACGTCACTTTTCAATTCTAATTGTTAAGTGGCTGAATTTTTCACGCAAAGTAACATCCGGTAGATGCTGGAGGAGGCGGGGTACAGTAGGCCCTTCAAATTCGGGGGGGTTAGGTTCTCAAAATGGCCGCAAATTGCTTAGAATAATTATTTCTTTTACCTGTATTGTATATATGTGTGTGTGTGTGTAGACACACACACACACACAAAAAACATATACAAATAAATATTAATGCTTTGTTATTAATAATTCATGGAGTAGACTTGAAGGTAGACTCAACATATATAATAATACATTTATTTCGGATTATTTGCGAGAGGATTTTTCCATTATTATTTATTTGTATGTATTTTGTGTGTGTATGTCTACACACACACTCACACACACATATATATACAATAGAGGTAAAGGAAATTGCTGTCTCTAGAACAAATGGCTCTCTGTCCCAGATGCGAAAATACCAGCAACTTTAAAATTACCCGCAGATACTCTTGGGTATATCCAGGGTGTCATCCGCGAATAATAGAGGGCCGCAAAATAAAAATATGAGAATTATCCGGGCGTACTGTACTTGGTTATTTAAGCAGAATTTTAAATCACAGCATCTTTGAAATTCATTTTAGGTGCAGGTATATGCAAAGAGCAATTGATGTGCAACAGGAAGACCAAGTCCCTGAAGGAACAGTCGGGGAGAAGAGGGGGGATTTGATGGAGGAGGGATAAGAGGGTAGGCTAGGTGAGGTGGATGGTCAAGGTGCTTATGGACACAAAAAGATCAAAGGGAAAGTCTACTGTCATGGCTACTGTCACCTGACCCGAGACGTTACCTCACCTCACGAGACTTCAAGTTATGTGACCACGTGGTGTCTCCTTACACCCACACCATACCTTTCATGGCTCGACCCACCAACACAACTATTTTATGATGGTTAACAATTATTTAATTAATTAAAAATATATTATTAGTTTGCCATATACAGTGGTCCCTCGGTTAATGAACTCAATTCGTTCCAGTGGGTCGTTCATTAACCGAAAATTTCGTAAACCGAAACCATTGTTTCAATGGGATATTGGGTAATTGGTTCCAGCTCACAGAAAAGTATATACAAAGTAAAGTAAAAAATGTAAAAGTCAGAAACTCTTCTAAAATGCCCCTAAATCACCCTTAAATCACGATATATATCGTACATATATACTAGAACTCTTAAATCACTACTGTAATGTGATACAGGGGATTAATTTTATCTCTTGTGCAAAATATATGACGTTTATATTCAAATTATTCGCTGTCCCACAACGATTCCAGCAATGCAAATTATATTCTCCTAACTTTAGTTTGAGATATTATATAAGATAAACACTTTAAAGCCTAATGAAAACACGAAACTTTTGTCTGGGAAGGCAGGGGTAGGGAGGGAGGGAGGGAGCGAGCGAGCGAGCGAGTGTGGGAAGAGGGGGGGAGCAGGGGGTGAGGTGTATTTTGATTGACAGATAGTGAGTCTGGTGAAGTATAATTTGTTTATTTACTTGAGTTTTTGTTTTTAGCTCATAAAATTCCTAGAAATTACCCGGCCAGAATATAATTTACATTGCTGGAACCCCCACAAGACAGTGATTAACTTGAATGTAAACAAGCTATAAGTTGCATTAGACATACAAATTTTAGATCTAATTTAAGAATTTTATTAGAGAGAGCAAAGATTTTATCTTTTGTGCAAAATATATGACGTTTACAGTATATTCAAATTATCCGCTGCCCTGCAACGATTCCAGCAACACCAATTGTATTCTCCTAACTTTAGTCTGAGATATTATGTATGACTAAACCTGTAAGCCTAGTGCTTTTCCCCAAACTTTTCTCGGGAAGGTGGGGGGGGAGGGAGGGAGGGAGGGGTGACAGTGACATGTTTGACAGTTGGCGCCAGTGGTGTGATGTATTTAATTGTTAATTTATGTCCTTTAGATTGAGTTTTTGTTTTTTGCTTATAAAATTTAATGGAAGTGACCGGGGTGAATTTAATTTGCATTGCTGGAATCCCTACAAGACAGCGATCAATTTGAATGTAAACATGAATAAAGTTACATATATGAGCCAATAGTTGAAAAACTTTATGTAGACAGAGCTTGGATGGCTAAATTTTAGAATGACCAATAATTTTAATACTGTATAAAAAAATGCATAAATATTAAAGAGCACAATTTTCTTGATATTTACTCCAATGGAAACGAATGTAAACATAGAAGAGATTACTGAATTGGCGGAGTACCTCCTCGGCTTATCAGCTGATGTTCAAAACAAAATGTGATTTTCGTAAGGATTTCGTTAATCAAATTTTTTTCGTTAACTGAATTGAAGATTCTTATGGAATGTAATTCGTTAACCAAGGCGTTCGTTAACCGAGGGACCACTGTACATTAAAACTCTTAATTTGGGTCTTGTAACGAGTAACTCTGTTTTTGTTTTTCAATTGCAGTGAAGTAAAACCATAAACCATACCTAAGTAAAAGTACTAAAATTTTTAGTACTTTTTAAAAAGTAAATACCTGTTCCCAAAAATGTTACTTGATTATAGTACTAAAGTAAATTTATTTAGTCACTTTACAACTCTGCATGTGCATCATATATGCAGTATTCAAAATTGTCTCTCATAATTGGATATTTTACCAAATGCATATTAATACAACTTTAATACTGTAAATACCTGTATATTTTAATATTTTGAAATGTCTCTCATATTAGGAAATTTGTCGTATATATTTTGTAACAGGAAAACATTACGAATTATGAGTAATTTCAGATTTGGTGGGTTCGAATTATGAGTAATTTCAGATTTTGGGGGTTCAAATTATGGGGTTTTACTGTACCTGTATGTTTTAATTACAAGTGTATTGTTTATAAAATTGAATTAATTTACTTGGCAGGAGTTGGTGGGTGGCGGGTGCAGCTTCCAGGAGAATTACAGTCAGTTGTGTGGGAGTCAGGCCAACTTTTGCAGGCTGGCATTCGTCCTCCAGAACTAGCAACACACCTCACCCTCCATTATCAGACTCTCCAAACTGCTGCTATGGGCCTTCACCTAACTCTAAAAGACTACCACTCTGTGCTTGACCAACTCAGTCAAGTACAGGTTAGTATTTTAATGGAGGTTTGCTTTTGTAATTGAGGATTGATTGATTCTGCAATTCTGCTTTATGGTTTAACCCAAAATTAAGTGACACATGAATTATTGCCATGAGTCTGCGGATGTATAAGTAGGTTTAAGCCTTGGAATTATAGTTTAGGATTAGTAACACTTTTCCATCACAATTAAGTCTCTCCTTTATATGCTGAAGTGAGCTGATATTTTTTTCAATAAATTAAGATTTCTTTTTGTTTTTTTTACTGTCAACTTTCCTCTTACTTTTAGCGAGAGCTCTTGAGTGCTGAGTTAGCTGGAGCTGATCGCGTGTTGGCTGCTGGACAACGGGTTGTGACGTGGTCCCCAGCAGCATTAACCCACTTCAGTTCCTCCTGCAGGGATGTAATTGAACATGTTCGGGCTCTTTCCAATAAGCTAATCAGGTGACCATTAAGTTTCAGTTTCACAAACTGTATAAAAATTAAGGCTATGAGGATTAATCTCTGTAGAATACTGTGTGTTAGGTCCTTCTGATATTAGGAACTATCGAAAGTTCTAAGATATGCTTTTATGGACACATGATGATGGTAGAACATGAGGTGAGAATAATGTCTACTTACAGTAAAGCATCACTAGTTCATACTCCCAAAGTACTGAGTGAAAGGCTAAGGTAATAACTTTGCAAGATATCATCATCAATATATAACTGCTACAGAGAATCCAGGGACCATGAACCCAAAATCAGGCTGTGCAGGTGTGTTATGTCTTGTCTCTGAAATATTGCTTATTGATATTTGACCTTTTGTTTGTTGAGCGACAGAAATTGGACAGTGAATTCATAATATCATCGAGTTCTATCTGGTGAAGTGAATGTAACTGTTGGTGTAACACTTTTGAGGTTATTTGCAATTGAAAATCAAATTATTGTTTTCATGTGGAGTCCCACACTGTATGGATACAACCATAAAATATAACAGTGCCACATGCCTTGTTATATTCAGAAAATTTAAATAAGGTTTATCCCTGAATGTGATCCACCGTCCATAGGACGACCATGAATCGGCTGCTTTTCCAATTAACCAGTCCGTTCACACATATTTATATTTGGGTTTTAAGTAACGAAACCCAAACGGTAGTTCCTTTGTTTTATTATAAAAGGTTGTATATATAATTCCTGAGTGTATATCAACCGTAAGTCTCATTGTCTAGGAGTGAATGAGAAAGGGACGGCGTTTATGTATGATAAACGTTAGGTCACGTCCTTACGATATGAGTTAGTGTGAGCTACTCAAGCTTAGGGGCATCGCAGTGCGTGCTTACAGAAATGCTGAGCTATGGGTCTCGCCCTCTTGGGTAAGTTGCCCGCTCACGTGTCAATCTCATGTCTTACTCATAGACAGTGGAAAGTTACAGGGTGGTGAATCTGAATATAATATCAGATGTATTGACCCATTTATATAATACGTTCTGTTGATGAGACAGGGGCCTATTACAACCAGAGGAAGCAGTGTGACTATATCTAAGATAGCCCATAGTGACTGCTGAGGAACTTTAAAATAAATAAATGTGTAAGCAGTGCACCCTTGGAGGAAACAGCAGGCATAGGAGTGCCTGGGTCACTATTGGTGCCACAATAAAAAATAACTTTTTTCTCTATTAAGAACTGTGATTGTGTACAAGATCCACCATTCATAGGAAGATCTAGTATGGTGAGCATTTTAAAAGCAGTATATAGTGGAACCCAACAATCAACCAAGGGAAGCTGGTCAAAAAGATATGGAATAAAGTGGAAGGTACTGTATAACATCACCGGATGAGCAAGGGCAATGAGGTTGTCAAGAACAATAAGACAGTTAAGTGAATTTTATATTATACTATATTGCTGTGGGACACAAAGGCTTCATTGATTTTAGTACATGATACTACATGCAATGAGAGGTGTGGTTACAAGTACAGTCACCCCAGTAACGGTGTGATTCTTCTTCAGAATAACGATAAAGATTATGGTGGTCAACTTCATCTACACACTAAACATCATACACTTTAAAGGTCCTATATTGTGATAAATATTTTAAGAGCAAAATGGTAGCACATCACAAGGTAAAATAAATTCCTATAGATGGTACAATCTTGACCCAGAGAAAGCAAGACATTAAAATCTAAATTCATGCATCTGACAATGCTCACCTCACACATCCCGTCACAAACTAACCCTCCACCCCCTCCAGCTTATCACTGGCACTACCTGTGACAGCTGTCAAAGGCTGTGTGTCTCATCACTGGGAAAAGTATGCACGGAAGAAAAAATAAGTGCTTGAGACAAGACAGGCATATATGTAGCAAACTCACTTGCGAGTTTGCTCACTATCACCAATACCTTGTTTGGGCAGGCCGACAAGTTCAATGGTTCGTGGTAACACCCACGATCCAAACACTGGCATCTCATTGACTACATCATTGTCAGATAAAAAGATAGCCTAGGTGTCCTCATCATCCGTGCCAGCCACGCATGGTCTGAGCTACCGCTGGATCCTCCAGCGGTAGCATATGCTTTCAGAGAGCAGCTTGAAAATGGGCTGATAAACAACCTGACAACAAACCACCCAAATCCCAGTACCGAATGGAGTATTCACGACACTGTCATGAGAAAAACCTGCAGAGAAACCCTCGGCCAGATCGAAAAAATACACCAGGACTGGTTTGAAGAAAATGACCCGGAAATCAATATACACGTTGATGATAAACATGCTGCTTTAACCGACTGGCAGAACAACCCTCAGTCTTGGACCAAAGCTGATACCCTCCGCAAGAAGAAAGCGGCGGTCCAGCATGAACTTAGCAGACTAAAGAATGACTGGTTTAAAAATAAAGTATGTGAAACACAAAATCTGGCAGAACAACACAAGAGGTGCAAATTTTTAAATTTCACTAAATCATTTTATGGGCATATAACTTGGACCTCAGCTCCCTTCCGCTCATCCGAAGGTAACTCCCTAATTAAAGACGATGAATGTCTCCTTCAGCGCTGGAAAAAGTACTACAGGTTGTAACTCTCTAGTCCGGCATTCTGTGGTCCGGAACGATTTTAGTTTGTCCAATAGGTAGATAGGCAACTTTTTTTTTTAATACTTATCTGAATTATTATTATTACAGGAGTATTAAATTTTTGCCCCTCAGGCCCCAATGTGGGTCAGTGACCTATGCCCGGGTGGACTAATCCCCGTAAAAAAAAACAACAACAAAGCCACGGGAAATTAAGGTTTGTTTACATCCTGCACTTTGGCTGCTCTCTCTCTCTGCTTGTCTATACAGAGTACAACATTTAACCCTTTTCAATATATATGAGCAGTAAATACCGTATTTTTCGGCTTGGAAGACGCTGCATCATGGAAGACGCACCCTGATTTTGGAAATGAAATTCTAAAAAAAGAAAATTACAGGTTTTAGCCCACCTGGGCACAGGTCACTGACCCACATTGGGGCCTAGGGGGCGAAAATGTAATAATAATAATAATAATAATAATGAAGAAATACAAAAATGAAAAAAAAATATCAAGAGTGAGAAACAATATACCTGTATGTATGTTGTATTGTCAAAGAGAAACCATTGAGACCCTGCAGAAAGTCAGATCATCAACCTGGGACTTGGTCACATAGCAGCAGGGTCTACCATTAGACAATACATTATGCTTCCAATATTTTCCCAGATGGTAGTACCTCCTTGTTTGGTACATTAGCTGCCTAATACCTACACCAGTGTAACCATTGCTTGATATGCAGCCCTTTTGACACAAGTACACACACCTCTTTGAATATCATCACTTAGAACTGCTTATCAGTCGTCATTTTCATCAATTTAAAAAAATCTGTATAAGAAGGTGAAATCTTTAAAACAGCACTCATTTTATACACCTGGTCACCTCCACATCTTAGGGGCTGTAGTGTTTACATTCTCGCTCTTGTTTTTGTCGGTATGACAATGACGGGAAATATTTTCCAACAGTAGAAGGTAAGCAAATGTAAACATGTATATCAACGTCTATATAAAACAAAAAATCTTTATTTAAAAACAAAATAAAAGTAAAAAAACAACTCCTTTTTTGCAAAACCAGTGACTGGTTCTACATAATTATAAAACTAAAGAAAATAAGTCCTCCTTTGTAGCTGTATTAAAATTAATGTAGAAAAATTAATATGGTTGTTTTAAGTAATGTTATTTAATGGTAATATATGGAACAATGGAAGTAGCTAACAATTAAGGGTAAAAAAAAGAGAGAGCACGTATGTAAGTGAGCACATGTGTAAACATATCATCATTACTCTACATAAGAATATGAAAGCAACACTTATTTACTGTTCATATATGTTTTAATTAATGTTTTTGAATTTCGTTTTGATTGAATTACAGTGACCCCTCGTTTAACGAACGCCTCGGTTAACGAAATTTCGGTTAACGAACTGCCTTCCATAAGGATCTTCAATTCGGTTAACGAACAAAAATTCGGTTAACGAATTTCTTACGAACCGACCTCAACATGTTTTCGCTTGCACTGACCGGGCAACCAGCTTTAGTATCAATCCGCCAATACATTAATCGGTTCTAGGGCTTAAATTCCTTACTATTTTAGTAAATATCAAGAAGTTTATACTATTCAATAATTTTAAAAGTTTAATATTAACTTTTTTAGTCATTTTAACAATTATTGAACATAATTGAAGGTAAAGAAACTAGTTTCTGGCGTGCCATCCAGCCTGTTAACACACCAGACAGGCATTAGTCTCTCTCTGTTTTCAGTGGAGGTAACATCTTGCTTGAGACTCTCTTCAACTAAACGCTTTTTTTCTGTGTTTCCAAGCAAATTATTGGTCATTTTGAAATATATTTTACATATTGACAATATATAATGCAGTGCAGTGTTGATTTAAAGAAAATAATCTTGAAATACACCAAGAGAACTAAAATTTTATGGATGAAATGGTGCCATGGGGTGACTTCTCTTCCACCCCAATGCCTTTTCTTCTTCCTTCTCCTCCACCCCCATTCTAATTCCCATCATCATCATCATCATCATCCAGGAGCCTTGTACATACACACCTCAAAGTAAGTGAACTTTTCTACCATTTTTGTTGAATTTAGGAAATTTTCGGTGAGCTGGAACCAATTACCCAAAAACCCATTGAAACAATGGTTTCGGTTAACGAACTTTTCGGTTAACGAACGACCTTCTGGAAAGGATTGAGTTCGTTAACCGAGGGGTCACTGTATTGTTTATGTGTGCAAATTGAACAATACAATTCATTAATAATACGAAGAATATTAAAACACATGACAAGACGTCATTGTTTTTGTTGTTTACAAAACCAGTGATTGATTAGTTCTACATATAAAACTGAAGAAGATAAGACCCTGGTTGTAGCTGTAGTAAAATTAGTATGGTTGTTT